ACATACATACATACATACATACATACATACATACATACATACAAACGTCTAAGCAATCCCTCACATCGAAGAATGCAGCGTTTTCTTCAGCATGGCTAGGTGAACTGCGCCTGCCTGGAAAACTGCTGTGTGGATAAGAAGCGAGATTGGCCAAGACCCATGAATACAACGTTGTTTCTGTAACGCTCTTTTATTTGCAACATCGAAACACACAACCCCCACCCTCCGAGTGAAATCGTTTTGGAACATAGGCTCGCGAAAAGCTCACTCAACATCAATGAACCAGTTCAAAAAAAGAGTTTTTCACGCCTATTTCAAGGTGGTTTCTTTTGCGTAGGTCTCATGGTCAACCTCGGAAATGAAGTAGACCCATAGAATCCTCGTGAAGAACCATTCCGCATTATATGAGAACAACGAGCATCCATGGCAGACAGTCAAGATGAGGAGCAAATATTGGAAATGTTATAAATATAAGTACTTGTCAGGAAATGTTAACAAATCTTTTACTGATTAGAGATCTCGCTTTGGAAAAATCGGAATGAGTGCGAGGAGGAAACCCACATCACTTGAAACAGGTATGTGAAAAACTTAATGTCTATGAAACAATCCAAGAAATGTTCGAAGCAGATATGTTGTTGACAAAATGCAAGCCTCGCACATGCTGTCTCTCTACAAACGTAGACAAAACACAATAGGTTCGGGACCATAAAATAAACGTTTTTTCTAGCCATTTTCGGGGCTCTTTCATCGATGTTGAATTTTCTCGCGTGTTTGTGTTTCAAAATAATTTTACTTGGGGGTGTAGGCGTGCGTGTTTCAATGTTGCAAATTAAGGAGATTTACAGAAACAATGTGGAGAAAATTTTTTCCGACAAGTGCGGTGATAGGTGATATATATTGCAAATCATAGCCGAAACAAAGCGCTTGAATGAGTAATGAGAAATGGTTTAGAAGCTTTTATTTGGGTTGAAGCATGTTTTGCAAAAGCGAAAACGGCCACGCAAACCCTCATTGCTCACCTAAAGGGGGAGAGCACTGCCACTATGCCAAGGGAACCCTTGTGGCCGTTGCGGGTAACTGCGCATATCGACTGGCACTATGTCTCCATGTTTCGAGCATGCAAACTTTGAACGCTCATAATTTTTTTGGTATACCCGTTTAGCAGTTTTCATTTCCAAATTTGTCAATTGCTTCCCAAGCCCTATCGATACACTTAAGCCCCCATTCAGAGTTCCATGGGAAGATCAAACCCCTCCCTGGTAAGTGTACGGTGCCTGGAAAAACTGCTACATGGATAGGCAGCTGGAATGGCAATGCTCTTCTGTGTTCATCCAGGCGGATCTTCAGTGGTTTTGTGGTCTGCACTACGTGCTTTTCTCCGAATCTCCCATATTGAATAAAATAGACGGTGTCCTGAAGTTAAGAGATCTTCTCAGATGTACAGTATCAGCAAAACTGTTCGGCACCGTTTTGCGAAGATTCGGGACCATTTTAGTAGATCCTTCAGTGTAGGTCGGAAAACAGATGAATGGGAAGTTGGGAGTTCTTTGCTACGCGGTTCACCTATTGTGCCATTTTGTCGTTAAGGAAGGGGACATAATGCTCGCACCGTCAGCCGTTCTGTGCCATGCCCAAATCCTCGTGCCCTTTGATGTGTCGTTGCTATCAAGGATACTTTCAATGTTGGCATCAACAACTGAATCTCTTCGTGTCACAAGCTTCTCCTTCGCTTTCAAGAGATTCCGTACGGCCTGTTTCATATTGGTAGGATGCGCGATTCTAGAATGCGGCAGGATTTTCGACAAAGCACTTTTCGATACCATAGGTGTTCCCTACGACCTTCGCTAACTCGCATTTGCTAGCAACAGTACAAATCCCTGATCTTCTCTAGTGAAGATTATGTTAGCATCGCGATGAGTCTTCTCAATGTTGTCACAAGGTCTCCTTCCGTTGTTCAAATCTTTTTTTATTTATAATATACGCTATATAGTTGAAAAGGAAATAAACAACATAAATAATATAAACGAGGTTCAAATAATGAATACGTCATCAATGTTTTGTAGAACAGAATTTCACCACTGCATGATGACTTCTCGATGTGGTCCAGGAAAGTGCTTGCTTTCTTGGACCACATCGAGGAGTCATCATGCGCTCATGCTTGCCTTGGCCTTGCCATGAGGAATCGTATAAGTGCCCTTAACCTCGTTGGCGGAAAACCCACCATAGTGATATGGTCTTTGTTATCGTCGATGAGCGCTAGAGAGTAAAACAGCTTGCACTGCTTCCGCGTTCTTCACGTTCGTATACGAGGATACGTTATATGTCGATTGCTTACCAGTCAGAATGGGCTTCAAGAGCCTTGGAAACTAGAAACCAAAGACGACGACAACAAGTCTACAGGCTGAAATATACTGGCAGTCTCACCGTGCCATTGATCTTGCCGTTCTCAAGGCAGCAAAACCTCAGCAAAAATTGGGTCCTTTTCCAATTCTACCCTTCATTTCGTTTTTTCGTCTGCTCTGAGTTTATTACAGCGCTATTGCCAATGAGGGATTCTTATGGCTCTTTTGCTACCCCCCCCCCCCTACTGAGAGCATCGGCTATTACATTTGCTTTTCCTTTAACATACTTGATTTGAAGATTATACCGTTGTACTTCCAATGACCACCTCAGAATGCGTGTGTGCACATTACTACGTTGGAATAGGGCTGTGAGAGGCTGATGATCTGTCATGACCGCGATAGGTAGTCCATATATAAACATGTGAAACCGTCTCAACGCCAATACCACTGCCAATGCCTCTAGATCTGTCACATGATAGCGTCTCTCTGTCTTGCTTAGCGCTTTCGAGGCAAAGAATATTGGGTGGAGATAGCCATCTTCTCCTTCCTGAGAAAGCACTGCGCCTAGCCCTGTCGTAGATTCCTCAGTACATATTAAAATTGGTCTCTTTCTGCTCCTCGCTGCTTCTACATCGGGTTGTGCTAAGACCGGCGCACTGCATATCTTTTTTTTTCACTCTTTTGAATGCTTCCTCATATTCTTGTGTCCATGCCCATTTCGCTTTGCTGCGATCAATATGAACAAAATACCGGCGCGCTTCGAAAATCCCAAACAAAACCTTCGGTAGTATGAAGCCATCCCTGTGAATGTCCTCATTTCCTTCACGTTTACTGGCGTGGGGTACCTTTCCACCGCCACTACCTTGTTCGGGTCCATGTATTCACCTTCAGAATCTATTAGATGGCCCAGGAAAGCTACCTTCGTTTGTAATAAAATGCATTTTTCTGTTCTCAGGCGTGATCCCGCCTTTCTTGTTTCTCACATACTTTGTTGAGCAGCTCGTGGTGCCTCGCTCTTGTTTCGGTACATATGATTACGTCATCTATGTATATAGCAGAAAATCAGCCTTTGGAGAAGTGCAGGACTCGCGCAAGGCGTTACTTTATATTGAAACAGTCCGTCAGGTGTGGTGAATGTGGACTTCTTGGCTTTTTCTGACTGCGGAATCTGCCAGTATCCACTGCATAGATCCACTGTGGAGAAGAACTTCCTCCGCTAGGCTCTGTAGAATTGCTTCGATTGTTGGAAGGGGGTACGAATCTTGCTCAGTCCTCTTATTCCATTCCCGGTAGTCAACGCATAACCTGAGAGAACCGTCTTTCTTCTCCACTAGTACTATCGGAAAAGCCCGTTGAGATGAACTCTTTTCAATAATACTTCGCTTTTGTAAATCTTCAAGCAATTCTTTCAACATAGGGCGAATACTTAGCGGCACAGGCCTTGCTTTCAGTTTGACCGGTGGGTTGTCACATGTATCAATGTCCATTTCTGTCAGAGATGTGCGAGAAAGCTCTTTTTCGGACACGGCAAAAGCGTCCTCGTTCTCTATCAAAACTTTCATAAGCACTTCATCCATTCCTTCATTACCCATGTTTTCCTTCAGCTGTTCGACCATACATGCTCTTTTGTGCTCTCGTGTCATGGTCGCACCTCCCGAGTCCAGCATCAGGTGATTTGTGTCTTTCCACTTTCCGTTCCACTTTTCCGTGCTCCATTACAAGTGCTTCTCCTTCCTTCAGCACGGTCGATGCCTCGTTACAGTTGTGCACAGGAATAGTAGCTCTTTGATTGCATATCTCAAATATCCCACTTGCTACGTCTTTCCTTCTTGTCTACAGAATTCGCCCGTCCGCTTCTACTCCCTCGCAGTCCACTTCTATAGCGGTTGGAGAAGGTACATATGCCCTTCTAATTACTTTTGCTTCATTGTTTGCCGTGAGGTTTGAGTCACTTTTCCATCTTGATTCGTCCTCCTCACCGTTAGTAATCGATATTTGTACCCCTAGCTTCTTTAAGGCGTTCATTCCCAACAAAACTTCGTCTTGAGGAAGTGGGGTTATGTGGAGGACGAGTTTGCTTCGTCTTCCACCCTCTAGCTCAGCTTCCACAGTCACTGCTTCAACTATCTCCATCTCATTGCCTGAGGCGTCATACACGGGTCCCACTTCGCTTTCCGTGAGAATAGGCAGCGTGTCGACGTCGTACCCTTTTTCTTGCGCTTTCTCCAGCAAGCTTATGGGTATGATACTCACCATTGATCCACGTCGATCAGGGCTGGCACAATCAATCTAGTAGCCTGATGTTCCTGCGCATCAACGTTCCAATTGCCTGGGCATCCTCACGTCTACTCTGCTTGTGTGTCTTCACGTTACAACTTCGAACTTTACGAATAATATCTGACACAGCATTCGCTTTCCCTGCTGTTGCCTCCATATTGTCCCTTTTAAGGTCTTGCACTTTCGCTGGTTTTCTTGGACATTCTCGGGCGAAGTGTCCTGGTCTCGCACAGTTAAAGCACTTCTTGCCCGCTTCCTCGACTATTGCCCTTACTCCAGAACCTTGACCCTGTATACTAGCGATGGCCGAATTCCTTGCCATCGCTTTTTGAGTCCTGGGGTATCTTCTTCTCTTGCGCTGTTCCGCGGTTCATCTTCGGTTCCCTGCGCTTTGGTACTATGTCTGGATTTCCACCCCAAGGGTCTAAAACCTTTCCTACGAAACATTGCCTTTGATTGTTCTATTCCTAGAACTAATTGCTTGATTTCATCATACAGTGCGTTTCGTAATTATAAGGTCACCCTCGATTTTTGCGATTCTGAAAGAAGCAGACGGAATGAAAGTACCTCCGTACTCAAATTTTGGTCGCAATATCCTTCACCTCAAATTTTTTATGAATTTTTTAAAGATAGTGTCGGCTTTTGCACCGTTTCATAGTTATAAGGTCACCCTGAAAATGAATGATTTATTAATGTTGGTGGCATATGCACAACACTTAATAATCTATAGCTCCTCCTTGTTTAAGAGCAACATCAAAGACCCTGTGTGGCATACTAGAAACTAGGTTTCGAAGATGTTCCTCATCGATTGCTCTCCATGCTTCGATAATGCCCTGGAACTGACGATTATTCGCATAAACCTGTCTGACTATTATGCCCCAGATATGTTCCATCGGATTGAGATCGGGACTGCAGGCTGGCCATGGCAGGACGCTTATTTATTGGCATTGCAGCCACTCATCCGTTTCACGGCTCACATGAACGGAGGAATTGTCTTGTTGAAAGACATGAGTTGAGGTGACGGCGATGGCATAGAAAGGGTACTAGATGATGCTCCAAGATGTTCTGGTAATCCTTGAAATCCATACTGCAGCTCACGACAGGTAGATCGAACACGACATCATTGCAGAATGCACCCCACACCATAGACTTCCTCCACCGAAATTGCTACGGCTGAAGTAGACTGGATCCTTTCTCAATTCGCGTCAGTACCGCTTGTTTACGTTAGGACCGTCTAGATTGAATTTCTTTTCATCCAAAAAGACGACCTAAATAGGACTTATTCAGCTGTGTGGTGAGATTTTGATGCAGATGCTACCTTTGCCCAATCGCTCCATAGGTTCATCTTTGCAAATCCGAGTCGAGCCTCTCTGTGGCGACCGGTGATTTATGGCATCTTCTCCATTGCTTGCCTGGTGATGTTCTCGCATCTTCTCACTGCTCTCCAGACTGTAGTTTTCGACACAGAGAGGTTTAATTCCGATCGGATCTAGCTCAAGGAGGACGTACTGTTGGAAACAGTCCCCAGAATCTTCCGCTCGTCACGGGCAGTAATCTTTCATGGGTGTCCACAGCCGGTGTCATATCTAGGGACATCAGGGCTCTCCAGAAATCTTTAAATGGAGCAAGGGGATCTCCCTATTTGCCTGGAGATGGCTCGAGTACTGAGCCCACCTTCATGATGAGCCTTCTCATCAGAGGAAGGCAGATGACAACGAGCCATGTTGACAGCCAGGTTTGGAAATGCATTTGCTACACATGCTTATCTTTATAAGTATCTTTAAACACGAAATTTCCTTTCTTCCATGAATAATTGTTCGCTTTTCAGGGTGACCTTATAATTAAGACTTGTGAGGTAGGCAAACTGGTGTAGAACTGTTTATTATCACCGCAAGGGAGTTTATATATTACTGTTATTATTGATTCCTTCGTCTTCTTCTCCTTATCCCTTCATCCCACCACTGCTTCATGATCGCAGCAGTCCATCACCTGAATCATCATTTCACCCCCCCCCCCCCCCCCCCCCCCCCCNTTTTCCCCCCCCCCCCCCCTACATCTCCCCCAAGTGACGAAGTCACTTGTTACCTTATCAAGTACCATCCTTGCGCACCCCCGCCAAACCTTTGCATTTATCCAAAGATTCAATACTTCACAACTCTTTTATTGCCACCTGATCACAATCAAAATCAGTTAAAAATTTAACACAGTTCATCACTTATTCCACTGGGGGATCTTGCTCCTCCCTCCTTGCGCTTGGCTCCTTAATGATTGCTTTTTCTGAAAGTGCAAAGTTTGAGGGTGGCCTTATAATTATGAAACGCCCTGTATGCCCTGTCCGGACTAGCTCGGTTCAGTGCACTCATTAAATGCACGTACTCGAGCCATTCATGTAGGTTTTCTAGAAGAATCTGAGCGTGCTCAAGAGATCTAGCTTCCTCTGTACTGTCTGGGATCGCTTTTTTGCCCAAATCTTCCAGCACCACCTGGAATTCTGCTACGCTCTGACCAGGTCTCAAGCGCAGTGTTCGCAATTCAGTCAGAGCTCTCATTCTCCCTGCTATACAGTCGTTCGATTGCAACCCTCCCAAATTCATGACTACCTCTTGAAATCCCATGTCCATTACACCAGCTGGTAAAGCTTTCATTGTATGCTCAGCGCGACCCCCTAGATGGTTGTCACTTAGTATCTCTATCAAGCTCTTGTCATCAGCCACAACTTTACAGTACTTCCGACGAAATTTTCGGATGAAAGTCAAATTCGTCAAAGTCAAAGTTCAGAGTCAAATTGAATTCGTCAAAGTTTTCATTTGATTTACCTTTGAAAACACCCGGGTCTGAACAAGACAATGATTGAGCATAATTCAATAAGCACATATTTGCTTCCTGACCTGCACTGACCGCTCCCTTTGCCGAGTGATCCACATAGCATCTCGAGCTGGTCCTTGAACGCACTCCAATCGTCGGTTCTTCCTCCCTCCGCCTCTGTAACGACAACTCTGTGTAGCTGTCCGTATCCGTAATTCAACTTTCATGCTTAACTCCGTGGTCGATCCTGCACTCTGATTGGAGCCCTAAGGCTGCTTTCTTCGAGCTATTCACCGTGGGTATCAGCTGAAGTGCACTTACACCTAGTTCATCACAAGTTCTGTCAAAATATTTCCGTCTCGTTCCATTGCCTCTATATAGTTTTGCCATTCCTCTTTCATCTCTATTCCCCTCGTGCTCAGAGTCTCCTCTACTACAATGTCCAATATGTGGGGAACCCCTTGACACCTACTTAAGGCCCTCAATTTTTCAGACACCCTATCTAGTTCGTGCCTCAGAGCCTCTTCATGTTTGCTCTAATACCGGGCCAAAATTTTGTGCTAATCCATCTCCGCATTTTAGTGGGGATTTCCACAATGCTGATCCTGATCTCCTCTAGCTCACCCACTAAACTCGAGTGAGGGTAACTTACCTCTCCCGAATTTTCCTTCTTCACTGTATCGTATGCGACCACCTCCATTTCTGTCATGCTCTGCAACAGAGTACCGTACTCTCGTGAATCAATGTCCAAATGCGGGAGAGCGTATGCCTTATATAACCGCACTAATACCTTGTAATCGCTACACAAAACATTGCGTAAGATGAGAAACAGTGCAGCAAACGCCTTATTAACCACCTCGTCTATATGAGCCGAAAACCTCAGATCTGAGCCGAAAAGAACGCACAAATCTCTCGCGGAGGGACGGAGGGCAAGCTCAGTACCATGGACCTCGTAACTCAGTGGAGGACCGGTTCCAATGTGCAAAACGGAACACTTGTTGAGATTAACCTGNGATCCATGCTAGAACTCTATCCCTGATCAGTTTCTCCATGACCTTGGTGGCAGGTGGCGTGATGCTTATGGGTCGGAAATCAGTTAAGAGGCGGCCGTTGGACTTCTTTGGAATGGCTGATACAAGGGATTCCTTCCAAATGTCGGGTACTTCTTCAAGTAGCATAGATATATTGAAAATATGCGCTAATGGCAGGCATAATGAACGAGCACACTCTCGAAAGACTATCTGAGGGATACCGTCGTATGGTTCGGCCAGAGATGGTTTGAGTTTTGTAAGGATCTTTAACACGTCACGGGGATGAAAGGAAATGTTCTTAAGATGGTGGTTAATCCGGAATTGGCTGCTCATCGGAATCTCATCTTCGGCATTGGAGACAGAGAAAACACTAGCAAAATAATCTCCTAGCGCTTCGGCTTTCTCTTCATCAGAGTAGAAAAGAGAGCCGGAGAGGCAAGTTCGGAGAGGGCTTTGTCCTTCGCCTAATAACGTGAAAAAGACGTTTGAAATTGGGCTCAGCCGACAGCTGCTTTTCGCGGTTTACAATGATTTTTTTGATGTGGTGGTCGAGATCTTTGCAAGCTTTCCTATAGAGCTCATCAGATAGGGAATCGGGCCGTAGGCAGAAGAGTCGGGTTTTCTGTTCAAGCAGATTCTGGATGTGTTAGGGGTATTTGAGATTTGCCTAAGGAGTTTGTTTAAATGGAACGAAATAAGAGAATGCGTAATAGACCTCCAGACAAAACCTCTTGTAGACATCGTGAATAGAGGTATAATTGTCGAAGACCGCCCACCAGTTTACACTCTGGAAGTACGAGTCCAATAATCGATAGTCAACATTGCTAAAGTCAGATGTAGGTACAGTTCGATTCAAAGAAAAATCCTGGGTCACATCGAAAGACACAACATTTGATCAGCACTGGCAAGGGGAGGGTGAACACTGACATTGGCAACAATTGGTGAAGAGGACAACACAAGGTCCAGGATATTATCCCCATGTGTAGGCTGACACACACACTGGGTGAGACTAGACCTTTCGAAAAACTGGAGATACTGTGCTGCACAGTGGTTTTTCGGATATTTAGTCGTCCAATCTATGTTGAGGTTGAAGTCACCAGTCAGAATCGTGTGACAACGAGCAGAAGTGAGATCGGAAAGAAGTTCAATGAAAGAAGCATCGATAGTAGAGGGACTATTAGGAGGGCGATAAACGGCAATGACTCTGAGTATAGACGAGGAGACCCCATTCAGAAGTTCAGTGCAAATTATATCAGGATCAAACTCAACTTTGACCTTTATCTCCTTGGAAATCAG